GCACCTGTGCCACCGGAGTCCCTTCCCAGGAGAACAAGCGGGTAGCAGCCCATTCGTCACCCCTGTTTGCCCGTTGGGGGCCAGGGGGGAACACATTGTTCCCTCGTCGCCTTGCCTCCCCTTGCGGTGGCCCAGCACGTACACACCGCGTGTGCCGGGGGGGGAGAGGCGGGTGCCCTGCGGGGGGCTCATGGTGGATCCCGCACCCATCCTGCGCACGGCCAGGGTGCCCCGCCCTGACGTGGGTGGGGGTGTGGAGACGCCCGAGGGAGTGGTGCCCCTCGGGTGGCGAGGGACGGCACGGCCAGGGAGGCGTGTCGTTATATGAGGTTGGACGCGGCTCGAAAAACGAACTGTGGACTGGAGCTCGCTCTCGTCAATTTTCGGCTTGTGGCACGCCTACGAGCTATGCAGGATCCGAGGTCACGAGCGGCCGTGCATTTGTTCAACAGGCAAGCTCGCTTGCATAGGCCTCCTGCTCTGCAGTGCGCGCGTTGTCTTCCTCTTTTTCGATGCTCAGCTTCTCGCGGTGGCCAATGGGCTCTGGCTCGTGCGCTCGCGGTCTGCGTGTCCGCGAGAACGAGGTGTCACACTGCGGTTTGCTCTGCCCGAGCCCTCTCCCGGCATGATCACGCATGCAAGCGTAGCAGCTTCTTTCAGCACGAGCGCCGAGAGCACCACCTGATGACGCGAGCTTTGCATCGAGCCCCTGGCGTATTGGTAACGCACTAGTTATTGGAATTATTGCCATGCCACTGCGGTTCCACTCGGCATTGTGTCATGGGCTTTGCGCGGCTGGCGGCGTGTGGATCAAAAATGCCCTTCGGGAGACAGCCATCCTCAACATGCGGCAAAGCCTGTCAATCATGTTGTGCACTGGAGGTGCACTTCTTATCTCTCCCGTTGCTTGGGTCAGGGGCCTTATGTGCCCGCAGGCACGTTGAATCTAAAACTTTTTGCTATAACTGAGTCATTGGCCCCAGTCCCATTCCCATTCCTCCTTATCTTAATTGTCCTCCTCCTCCTCCTCCTGCTTCTCCTCGTCCTCCTCCTCCTCCTCCTCCTCCTCCTCCTCCTCCTCCTCCTCCTCCTCCTCCTCCTCCTCCTCCCCCTCCTCCGCCGCCTCCGCCTCCGCCTCCGCCTCCGCCTGCGCCTGCGCCTGCGCCTGCGCCTCCGTTTCTTTTTCCTTATGAGTAACTCCTCCCTGTCGCCCCCAGAGGCCAGTCGAACGGGCGGGCCGGGCGTTTCGCCTGAGACTTCCTCACCATATCTAACCCTGAAATCTTTGTAACAAAGTAGCAACCGTTTCATAGATCGAGGGCGGGTGGTTTTCAGAATGTGGCTCTCGCCGTAGCACCGCGCACACTCGTCTTAAAAATTCGCAGAAGTTCCATTGATGGAGGGCGTGTAGTTTTCAAAATTTGGCTATCACCTGAACGCGGCGCACATTCGTCTTAAACGTTTGCAGCACTTCATAGACTCGCATGGCTGCTAAAGTCCTGGAAATGGCGTTCTGGTGCGATTTAGGAGTGTCAGGACGCAACAATCAAGAATCACGTTGATCGGCGATGTTGAAGTCCCAGGAATGGTGCTCTTGCGCGCTTCAGGATGGCCGGGACGCAACAGTCACGTTGACCTACGGCGCCAGAGGCGCCGCCAGTGGGGGTCCAGGGCCGACCGAAGAGCCCCTGGCGGAGCTCCGAAAATGTCTTGTTATGCAATCGTTTGTCCCTCGCGGGCGAAAAACAAACCGAGAGAACCGCGACCGATGCAGCTACTCCCTGGACCTCTCCTGTGGCGCGCTCTAACCAGGACCTCGAGGCAAGTCCACACGCAGCCGCGTTTCGATCGGGGGAGTGTAAGACCGAACGTGTGCGCGAAAGTCTGCCCATGTGACCGAAACCAGCGCCCGAATGGTTCCGAACGCGCTAGGGTGTGACCGAAATTTCTGGTTCGAAACCAAAGCGATGTTCAATTTCGGTCGCACTTTCGATCACACCTGGGGCACGCTTTCGGTTACCGACTTTTTCGGTCACGTGCCTTTCCGGCCGATAGAGGCCCAGCGCCATGACCTTTTTCGTCCTCTGAGGTGCAAGAAATCGTCGGCGAGCCCGAGAGGGAAAGAGAAGGAGAAGGCCTTCTCAGAAGACTCGGCAATCCCCCTGGCCTTCTTATACATTTTCTAATCATTCCCCGAAGACGCAGAAAACCTCTCAGAAGGCGCGAGGGCTTCTGAGAAGCCCTGCCGCCTTCTGAGAAGGCCTTCTCCTTCTCCCTTCCCCCCCTCCGCCCGCCTGCGGAGAGAGAGAGAGAGAGAGAGAGATCCTCGAGGCGCCTCCGGCGGTGGGGGCGAGGGCCGCCCAGGCGGCCCCGAAGAGGGGGAAAACGAGGCGAGGGTAGGGGTACCCTGACCTTCCAGGAGGGCCAGAAAATAGCACGCGACTTAAGAACCTATCCCAGAGCTATTCTACGTCTTGGCTTTAGGCTGTTTCGCTTCCTTTTTTATGTCTTTAGGCCTCCAGTGCTGAAACATAGCTCTGTGGAAGGTCAGGGTAAGGCAAACTTTTATGGCCTCGGCGCCCGTCCCGTGACTCACGCGGGGCCCGCGGCGCCTCCGGGAGGCGACCGGGCGCGCCGAGGGGCACCCGGCGGGCGGCTCTGGCCGCCACGGGCAGCGCCGGCCGCGGCCACGCCGCCCTTCGCCGCCGTGACGTACTCGAAGCGGTTCCCCCGGAGGCACACGTCGAAGTAGGCGACGGATGCTCGGTGGCAACTCACGGGAGCCTCCCATGCGAATCGACGCTGGTCGGCGCTGGTCGAGGCCAAGTCGACGCCGAATGGGCGCCAAAGCGACGCGAGTCGGCGCGAGCCGACGCTAGATCGGCGCTGTATCATCGGTTCCCAAACGCTACTCGACGCTAACGGCGGCATTAACTTAACGGGCGAAGAACGGTATAAAATAAACTTTTTCGCTGTCGGGGGCGCCTGTCCCAGGGCGGCTGGAAAGTTTACACCCTTACGGTGGCACCGTAGGGGTATAAACTTTCCAGCCGCCCAGGGACAGGCGCCCCCGACAGCGAAAAAGTTTGTCTTATACCGTTCTTCGCTCGCTGATTAACAGGGTACGCCAGGCTTCCATGACTTGCTGCCGAGGATGACGGAAGGAGAGGCGCCGGCACAGACATCAACACTCTCAGTGCTCCGCGCGGACGTCTCGCATCGGCGCGGGGCACCCCCCGGGGCGGCGCCTCTGGCGCCGCCCCTTGGCGCGCTCCGCGCGCCAGGGAGGGGGGGGGGTGCAGCGCCGAGCCAAGAAGCCCGCGCGGACCTGCGAACGCGCATGCCGGTGTCGTCTTATGTTGCTCCCATCTACGAGACCGATGTTGCATCACAGCAGCAATTCGGCCCCTGACTTTCGTCCTGGGTTCGGTTTAGTGAAGTGATGAATTTCGGGGTCCTCACGTGGGAAAAAACATCACTTCACTAATCTGGGGCCCCTAAGACCTCAGTGGGCCCTGGGGCCCAAAATTAATGGGCCTCGGACCATGGCACTTAAAGACCACATCGCAGAAATGATTTCGAGCAGCCGGAAAAGTGTCGAAAGAGTGTCGAGACAGCGTCGGACGAGTGCCTCCCAGGGCCCGACACGTGATCACCCTCGAGCTTCGGTACTTTTTTGGTGCTCGAAATTCTTTCTGGTGCTCAAGACGGAAGTGGGTTGGAGCATCATGAATGTCGTCCTTTCTCCTTCTGGATGAGGCTGGGGAGTATGCCGTACACGAGGAACATGTGTCGGCGGCGTGCCGAGGGAGGTACAGTCAGGCCGGACGCGTCCCCCTACAGGGGGAGTTTTAGACGAAAATTAAAAATAGTAGAAAAATGCCCCCAAATGGGCAAAAATGATAGAAAAATCGTCCCCAGACTATTTTTTGACAATTTGGGAATATCCCCCCTTGAGAGGGACAGGCCCGACTTAAAGGTACAGTGAGGGGCCGGGCCTACCGTGTCAAAATGCGCCGGAGCTTCGGAGGGAGACCCACCCCCCTGGCCTCCGGAGAGGCCGCCCGCGGCTGCGGAGGAGGCTCAGAGAGAGCTTCTCGGAGTGAAGGGGCCCTGGGGCACACCAATAGATTTAGGTCCGGCATGTCCCCCTACAAACGGATTTTAAGCGAAAAATTAAAAATAGTCCAAAAATCTTCAAAAGATACACAAACAATTCTAAAAAATCGTCCCCAGACTTTTTTTACTATTTTGGAATATTCCTCCTGTAGAGAGACAGGCCCGACTTAACCCTGGCCTTCGGAGAGGCCGCCCGCGGCTTCGGAGGAGGCTCAGATACAGCTCCTCAAAATGAATAAACCCTGGGGCACACCAATCAATCGGCACAGATCCCAGGATCTTCACGCATTTTTCCGTATCTTCTGGGTTTTCGTCTTCCCCCCCCTCTCCACTTCCTATATTTTCCTGGGGGTCGACGATGAATTGTGTCTGTGTGTGTCTTCCCCTCCTGACAGAGGGCCAGAGGGCCCTCTGAGCCTTCTGCGAAGGCCCGCGCCATCTGAGCGACGAAGAGAAAAATGGGTCTTACTCGGGGGCGCGCGAGCATGGATTTGGCGATTCATGGACTTGGCGCGCGGTCGCCAAACCCATGGATCGGGGGAGGGGCCCTCCCCAAAATGCGGCCAGTGCTGCCTCGTTCGGCGGCGGAAATCCGCGATTCCCATGGAAGCGGGACCCGTCGCTAATCCACGCCCCCTTGATCCATGTTTGCGATCGCCTGACTTACGCACGATGGCATGGCAACCTACGCCGCGGCTTACGCGGGCAACCAGCGCGACACGCCACATTGGAAACGAGGGCGTTCACGCTCGACCTTGCGCGAGCAGCGTGCACGCCGGTGTCGGTGAAGACGGCCCTTTCTTTCTGCGTCGCTCATCTGCCTTCCCCCCGGGCGCGCCGCCGAATGGGCCCCCCGAAAACGAAGATCTCCAGCGCGACCCTCAGCCCGAAGCCCAGCGCTGACGTGCGCGCCAGGCCCCCGTCCTCCGTGCGCCAGGCGGCTGCCTGCCCACCCGCGTTCCAGGCGGGCTGCCCGAAGCACGCCGGGACGAAGAGCACGTTGGAGACGACTAGGACCGGGGGACGAAAAGTGGCACAAACATGCGCTCTCGGAGGTCCGCAGGGATGCCTCGGATCGGCGCTGGGCCTCCCTGGCGGCGCCTCCGGCGCCAGGGAGGGGGGCCCCGCTCCGATCCAAGAAAGGTTATGCTCATGCAATTTTGTGCCCCCCTCTATGAGCGCCATTGGAAGCAGGACCGGAAGGAGAGGACACGAGGACCAGGACCAAGGCTGAACGCGAAAGCGTCGGTATCGATCCTGGTCATCGTCTGTCTTGGTCATAGTCGGTTCGTGGGTCATCCTCGCGAATCGGCGACGGCCGGCACGGAGCAGGACCAAGCTCGGCGTCGACAAGATCCCGCGACATCTTGAGCATGGTCCTCGTGTCTTCTCCTTCGAGGGATGGCGGGCTCGCTGAAAGCCCAGGGGCACGGAAAGCTCGCGTCGAGATGGCGTGGACGCGTGGCTTCTGTGGCGCTTCGTGGATCGTTCAGCTTGGAACGATCACGGCTCTCCGCTGGCGCACACCGCTCGAAGCGGGCAAGCTCCGGGCCACTGGCGGCGCTGAAGCCATGAGGCCCGCGCTGGGGCCGCCGCCGCGTCGACGCGGCGCGGGCCTGGCGCAGCCTGGGCGAGGGACCGCTCGGGGCCCGGGAGGCGCCCACAGGGGAACAGGAAGCTGAGATCCTCCTCCTCCTCCTCCTCCTCCTCCTCCTCTTCTCCCTCCCCCTCCTCCTCCTCCTCCTCCTCCTCCTCCTCCTCCTCCTCCTCTTCTCCCTCCCCCTCCTCCTCCTCCCTCCTCCTCCCTCCTCTCCTCCTCCTCCTCTCCTCCTCCCCCTTCCTCCTCCTCCTCCTCCTCCTCCTCCTCCTCCTCCTCCTCCTCCTCCTCCTCCTCCTCCTCCTCCCGACCCCGTGCCCCCGCCAGCGTTGCCCCTGGGCCGTCCCGAGACCGGGCATGGGCCACGTGGGCAGCCAGACCCCCGCCAGCGCACACAGCGCGCGGTCGAGGGGCGACCCACCCGGGGAGCTCGCGCAGAGCCGCCGGGCCGACCCGCCGAGGTGTGTCTCGGCGACCTGCACGAGCATGCACACGAACTGGCACGTCGGCACCACGTGCAGAAGAAAGAAACACGCCATGAGCACAAACTCCGCGCGGACTTCTCGCATCTGCGCTGGGAGCCGCCCCCCCTCAGTGGCGCGCGGAGCGCGCCAGGGGCGGCGCGCCGGGGGCTCCGCCGGGGGGAGGGGGGCGCCCAGCGCGCATCCAAAACTCTGCGCGGAGCGCCAAAAGTTTATGCTTATGGCGTGCTTTCTTCTTCGAGTGTGTAGAGGGCCGAAAAAATCCACCCCGATGAGAACCACCCCGACACGCGGAGCCGTCTGGCTGACGCGCCCCGGGAAGGAGAACCAGACAGGGCAGGGCTGTTTAGTGAACGCCCAGGGTCGTTCAGTAGACGCCGACTGTCCGGTCCGGGTGGTCTTTCCTCCCCCGAATGTGGGCCCAGAGCATCTGGTGCACGAGCCGCAAGGCGCGCCACAAGACCGCGGAAGCCACCGCGGCGTCGGGCGGCAGCCAGCGCGCCGTGTCCCACGTGGCCAGCAGGGCGAAGGACAGCTCGGCGACGCCCTGGGCGTGGCGACGGGCCTGGGTCCACCTGCCGCGGGCGCCGCCCCGGGGGGCGGGGGAGCTCACATCGCACTCAAACCGACACCCACACCCACGCCAACACCCACACCCACACCCACACCCACGCCCACGCCCACGCCCACGCCCACGCCCACGGCACGTGCACGCCCACACAAGCACACCCACACCCACACACCGGCACCCACACCAAAGACCAAACCCACGCACACGCCCACGCCTGCGCCAGGGCCCACGCGGGCGGGCCTCCTTTGAAGGGGCCATGGGGCACACAACGAAATAGTCACTGGTCCCGCGGTTCCCCGTATACTTCGCAGATTTCCTGGGTTTTCGTCCCCCCCCCACTTCTCATATTTCCTCTCTCTCTCTTTCTCTCTCTCTCTCTCTCTCTCTCTAGTTGTGTCTGTATGTTATTCACCCTCCTGATCCTCAGAAGGCTCAGAAGACCTCTGTCCTTCTGGGAAGCCTTCGGAGAAAAGCCTCTCCGAAGACACGGCCGGCCTCTGAGATCGCCGGAGGGTCTCTTCCGAAACCCCGCCACCTTCTGAGATGGCCCGCCCCATCTCGCTCCGCCCCCTGGGTGCGCTGCGGACACTCGACCAGAAGGCTTGACGACGCTTTCGCGGGCCGGCCGCTCCGAGGCCCAACGAGCACGCAGCGCGGCCAGGGAGGCCGCGGCGACCGGCCGTCTTTCAGACGGGTGGGGCCAGCCAGGCACGAGCGGACGCACTTTGCCCCGCAAGTCCCGCGACGCACATGATTGTTGTGCTCGCCTGGAGTTTTTTGTTGTTCTTTTCAGCCAGAAACAGAGTTTAACGGTGAACGCAAGGCCTTCTTCTGGGCCCTTTGCATCTGGGCAAGCTTTGAAGAACCTGGGGGCAGTCATTGCTGCACTTTCCTCAACTGTCGCCTGCCATACTGATTGAGCTGGGAAGACGAGACACCTGTCAATTTCCTGACAGCTTGGGTGGCCACGCAGCCACAGGCCAGACAGACTGTGCCCCAAAATTCCTTGTGATAGGCCAAGGTGTGGGAGCTGTGCAAGTCCATGCCATTGACTGAACTCTTAGTGGGCGCCAAAAGCATCCCCTCAAACAAGCCCTGGTGCCAAGGGGCCGCTAGAAATTTATCGGCCAGCTTGCATGGCGCACATCCTCCACAACAGTGACAGCGGACCTGGGAACCAATCCCCCACACTGGTTGGTGGGCAGTCGAGAGCATTTAATATTGATATCACGCCTTTTGGGTCTCAAACAGCCTCCCTGGGCATCCGATTCCCGTCGGCTTCGATCGAAGCGAGCAAGCTGTGGCCCAGGTGCTGACGGACCTGGACAGCAATAGCCTGGGCATGGGACCTGCTGTCTCTAGCAGCAGCAGACACACGAATACTACCTGCCCATTGGTTCGAAACACGGTCCGCCAAATCATTTAAAAGAAAAAGCAAAGGGTCAGTACCCTGTCCGCTGATGTCCTCCACCTTTCTGTGGCTCTCCACTTTGGCAAGCACGATTCCTCTGGTCGGGTGTTCTTCCAACGCATCTTTGACACTCTGCCACACATCGGGGTGAAAACTTCGAAAAAGATCCGAGGCTGATGTTCTTATAATTCTCCACTACGTAAATGGAAACCGTCACAAAGAAACCGTCAGCAACAGGGCGGACAGCCGACAGCCTTCAAGAACCGCAGGAAACTATCGTTTCCCCCCTGGTGACCGATTGGCGCCATCCAGGCACGCTGCCGAAACTAAATGCGCGGGGTTGGAGATCTCTGGGGCCATGCTGCCCCCCAGCGCTGAGGCCTCCGAACACCACCCAAGTCCAAGCCACCCTGCGCATGGCGGGGTCCCGAATGTCAGGCCTTTCTTTTGAAAGACAAAACTGCCCACCATAGCCTCCCCCAGGTTTTCCCGCAGGTCTGGAAATCCTATCCTTCGGGCGGGGGGGGGGGCGCGGCGGCCCAGCTGCTCGGCTCGGCGTTGGCCCTCGCAGCCAGAAACTACGATTGCTTCCCCAATCCTGCAGCGCCCGCCTTCTTGCGAAGTCATAGACCTTGGAAAACTCAGCATTATTAGGGCAGCCCCGCGCGCGGTGCACATCGCACTCGACCAACTCACCACCACATCTCGTACAGGAGCTCTCCTGAGCGACAGCGCACTCCTGGGGTCTAGCGCGTGGCCAGCTGTTCCCAGTAGCCACAGCCCGCAGGATCCCTCTCCATTCGTGCTCGCCCTTCCTGGCCAGCGTCCTCAGCTGGAACTTGAAATCGTACCATGCAGTCTGGTACCCGCTCCAGTCCAGACCCGTTCCACGAGTTGGCTGCAGCGGCCTCCCAGAGATGTCGTTCCTTGCTTTGGACCAGGGCTTCGAAAAGATCGGAGAGGTCAACCTTGCCTCGCCGGAAGTTGGCTTCTGAGATCGCAAAGCGCCCACCCGGATCACCCTCCAGCCCAGGGACCCCGAGGCTTCCAACCGACATCCAGCGGGGTAGCGATCGCGGCGGTCACTGGTGTGCCAGGGCATCGCCATCTGTTCCCTGCAGTCTTGGATTCGAGCGCAGCTGCGACTCCACGCCAAACTCGCCTCGTCTCATTGACATCAAAGCTAGCATGAGTTAAGATCTGGAACCAAGCTTCGACCGCATCAAACATCGCAAGGGAGGCAGGGCCCCCCCGATCATACTCCAGAGCTAAAAAAGTAGCCAGGCACCCACCCACCCTTGACGCCCCCCCCCCCCCCAGTAAGCCTACCCAACGCCCTACACCAACCGAGGACAATGCTGGACGGGGTGCCATGGACCTTATCTGAATACATAGACGAATTAAACATACTTATGTATATACACTATGCAATGTCAACGCCATCTTCGGCGCCAATTGCTTGCGCAACCTGTTGCCTCTGGCCAGCTTGCCCAGCCTTTTCCAATCTACGGTTGGCGCCAGTCCTCCTGTTGGCCTGCTTGGGTCGCGAAGACTTGACCTGGCCTCGATCGATGCCTAGATCGGCTGCTACGCGCTTGGCCTGCACGCTGACGCCTTGCCCTCCGAAAGAAATCCTTGAGTCTCACGGCCAACGCCCAGGGCGAGGAGATGATGGCCGATTTCGGAGCAATCTGCAATTTAATCGCGCGCAGGCCCTGGACCTAATCTAGGCCCACCGTCGAGAGCAGAGCAACGACCCTGCCACTGTCACCACGCACGCACTGCACAATGTCATCCGCCCAGGCGTGCAACGTAGGTAGAAGCCTGCCAGTGACAATCTTACTGCAAACGAAGCTGCTCTGCCTAGATCAACTGCACCACATGCTGCAATTCTGGCTGCGCAGCCTGGTGGCCACGTGGACCTGGAGCTCCAGGGCCAGATAGCACGGGTGAAACTCAAATTCCACCGCGCGGTCCTGAACCAGGTCCCATCGGAGACTGTCGCAAAAGCCTTTGACAGCCAAGAGCAAGCTCGCACTCTGGTGGTCAGGCAGAAAAGAATGCGCTGTCCGCCCATCCCTGAACAATCTCAACAGAACAACCTGCAACGCAAAGAAGACTGCGAGAGCCGTGTCCCACGGCCCCGCACGCTCCTTAGTCTAGCCCGCACTGTCCGAGATCCTTCAAAGCCCCCAAAAGCGGGCAATCCAGGCCTGCAGGCCTATGGCACGGTCCGGGCCCTGGTCTTGGACTTGGCGCGTGACAAGAACAACAAGGGCCTGCCAGGGCCAGCAAACCTCCCTTTCGACCGGCGAATAGTAGAAGTCTGCCAGCTGCTGCAGGCCTAATGGCGGCAACCACTAGAAACCCTTCTCAGACAGCCGATCTACGCCTGGTGCTATTCCAGGCAGAGCAGAGATGACCCTACGGAGCCAATCAGCTCCGATCTGGGGTCGCGAGCTCCTCTTGGCCAACATCTGGGCCTTGCGCCAGAGGGCCCGAACCTGGGGACAACTAGCTGTCTCCTGCCCGCTTGTCTGACCAGATCTCGGCCTTGACAGGCAGCCTCTGGCAGGAGTCCACAGCCGTCCCCCCACCCGTCCGAACCTCCCCCACGCGCGCAGACTTGTCCCTTCTGCGGCTACAGTGGCCACGGCCTCCAGCCTGGCCCTGCTGCATGACCCACTGGTGGAAACAAGTGAGCGCATTGTTCAGGGCAGCGCGCTGAGTCCGGTATGAAGCCCCCTTGGGGACCCGCAGGCCACGGGCCCAACCGGGGCGCATCCTCTCTGAGAGTGGCAGAAGAGAGGAGACTGGCGTCGTCGAGGCCATGCCCCTAATTCGAGCCCGCTGGGCCCACTTGGTTCCGCCCCCCAAGGATGCCCACCAGGCCAGACAACAGAAGCCCCAGGTGGACAACCAGTGGGCCACTGGGCCCCTGGAAGAAACAAAATGGTCACCCTGGGCTCCAGGTCGCTTCTGGAGCTCCCTCAGCTCGGCACGGCCCTTGAAGACGCTGGCACTTGGGATGGGCCGCCAGCAAGGCGCGGAAAAAAAAGCCTTCGAAACGTGCAACCCATCTGGCAGAAGCGGATCCTACCTTCATCGCCCCAGCCTCGTCCAGGTTGAAGGCGAACGAGTCTCTCGCGTAGCTCGGCGCCTTTGCCTCCCTCGCTGGGTCCTGCAGCGACTCCCAAAGGTGATCCTGATGATTCTGCGTGATCATGAGGAGCTCGTGACCTGGCTCACTGCGCGCATCAGGTTCTGCCTGACGCTGGTGCTCCGCCACGTCCACCACAATGGGGCGGTCGCGCGGCTGCCCCTGGCTCGGGGGCGGAGCTGCGGGTTGCCCCCAGAGCTGCCCCCCGCCCCGCCCAGACCTGCGCGCCGCCCCCCCAGTCGACTGGGGCCCCGTCCACGCAGCCCCATCCAGCCGCAGAGCGCTCTCCACCCCTCGCGCCAGCAACGGCCCGAGGGCCCGCGGCACTCGGGGGGCCCGCAGGCACTCCAGAAGACGAATCCTCGTTAGCACCAACGCCCGCATCAACCTCAGCAGCAAAACATGACGACTGAGCCCTGCCCCTCGCGCTGTT